TCAAAGTCACTGTGTTTGTCAGGTGAGAACCCGCACTTCAACTGTTGTTCTGCAGTAGAACTGTATTCGCCATCTCGCCTAAGTCTAACCTTTTGCTTTCTTTTCCAGTGAAGCTGGCTATATGGGAGGTTTCATTAGACAACTTTGTAGAGTCAATTCAATCAATTCCAGAGGTACAGTGAATAGTCAACAGCACGGAGAAGGAAATGATGAATAATTGATTATCTGTAATGGTTGGTTGTCTGTGTGTAAGGTAGATCATCAGATTTCACTTTGGCAATGGAGGTTATTGTTGTGGCATCCTAGTGGGTCATAGGAGAAGAGAGTCTGCAGACGTGTGACATGACGGCCATCGCTGTCACAGCACCATATACCAAATGAATGCTAGCTAACTTCAACACTAATTAGGGCTAGGATTAAGGTTAAGACAGAGAAATCAGTATTTCAACTTTAAAGGGTTTCCAATGCAGATATAACACAGGATCACTTTGTCAAATATTTGCTTTTTGCTTGTGTGAGTGTAGAAGTTAAAAGCAGCTTTAAAGTATGTCAGATCAGGTTAAAGGTGCTATAGATTATTGCTGATGTTGCTTGTCATGGGGCCTAGTAGATTTTATGATAGCACGATCTGATACCCACTGCACCTGTGTATGAATAACTGTCAGTGCATGTGAGGTTTAGTATTTTAAAACATCAGTGCTCCCTTTAATGTTAATGTCCTGACTTTTTTGCTTCACAGTCACTGAGATCTGGCAGAAGACTAAAGCTGTCCTCTGCAGAGGTTATGCAGAAAATAGGAGAGCTTTTCACATTAAGGTGAATTCAGTTTTTTTTTCTAAATATCAGTTCATTTAGAGGGAACTGCAACCTTCCTGTTTTTGGTTTCAAGGTTTCACAGCAGTTTTTTTATTCTAGAGGATAATATGAACTATTGTAGGTCTCGCTGTGGGAATTTTTAAACATCATTATGACCCACTGTTTCCATCTCCTTCTGTTTCTGACAGACACTGTATAAACCTGAGGTCTGACCTGCTCCTCACACCTGATTTCTACTGGGACCGAGAAAATCTGGAGAAACTCTATGACAAGACCTGCCAGTTCCTCAGTATCAACCGCAGGGTCAATGTACTTAAACCTTTGATACCATTGCTGTAGACACTGACCCTCGTCATAAGAGGCACTTGCTTTGTGTCTGATCTCAGTTTTGCTCATCAGGATGAAAACATTTTTCTGTTTTTAGGTTGTGAATGAGAAGTTGGAACATTGCACACAGCTGACAGACCTGATGAGGAGTCACCTGAGTGAGAAGCACAGCTTGAGGTTGGAGTGGATGATTGTCATCCTCATTACTATTGAGGTAAGAGAGATAAGAGATCATTTGTACCATAACAATTTGACCATATTATGCAAAAGTGCCCACTGATCCTAATGTTTATTCATCACATCGACCCTGGGATTAACAGCAGCAGTCTTTCATTGTTGGACTTAAAAACTCTTAAAGCCTTTCTCAGTGATTTGGTTTCTTCTTTACATCAGTTGCTTTGTTTTCCTTGCAGGTTATGTTTGAGATTGCAAAAATGATCTTCTAAAATGATGCTCCTCCCACAATTCACAAGTTTAAAATGGGCACTAGAAGCTAAAAAGGGAGAATGCAGGACTACATAAAGGTATTTTTGCCTGTAATATATTTCCTGAATTATAAAATGGACCTAAATATTTTTGAATGTCTTACTGTTGTACAGTATATACAATGAAACACCACACAATAAATCTTTTTTTTTTGTTTGTTTTGTTACAATTACTGTATTGCTGGAGATCACGGATTGAACGTTTTTCAGGATCTGTATACATTTACTTAGGAACATCTGACCAGAGTAATGTTTTTTTTGAGTTGTGTTTGTGGAATCTGTGTATGTGCTTAAACATGTATGTCACTTTTACATTATGTGAGAAAGTCTACGGATTGAGTATGGGAGATATTTGAGTGAGCCACCTATGACATTCTTCAACTGAAACAAGATTCTGTAATATATTTGAATTCATCAGGTCCAAGAACTGAGTGCTGTTATAGAAGAGCCAATAAAGTACTTGTTTTAAATGGTTGCAAGTTATTTGTTCTGTAAAATGTCTAAAACTAATTTATGATCTCCACATTTTTTGATATTCATGAAGAATTTGCGGTACAAGAAGTACTTCAAAAGGACAGGTATGAATTCAAATAAGACATTTTATTAACAAAACATGTAAATATATAAACATAGGCCACTCAGGTTTATGTTTTGTATTTAGTCAATAGTTAACACATCAGCAAGAATGTTCCATTGAAGTTAGTATGTGAGAAGGTGAAACCAAACAGCTGACACTGACTCGTACCACCACCACCTTTTAATATCTGAGCCTGTCGTATCGGTGATGGCATGAGCTCACTGAGACGCACAGCACACACACAGCAGTGAAATGCACGACAAGTAAAGCTGCCATGATTGTTAAGGTTCTGCTAATTATCATTATCATATATTAATGATAAACATATGTAAGGATTAAAATGATAAAAGTAAAAACAAACTAATGCTTTCATCATGCTTATATTTTAAAAACTCACAGTAGAAAGTAGCACAGTTCAGTCTGTTTAAGCATTAAAATGGCCATTATGTAAACTATACTGTAATACACTTTACAGTAATACCATACTATATGTCTGCAGTGTGCTCAGGCCTGTTGCATAGAACTCATGGGAAATATGTGTATTTAAGTGAAACTGTTAGATCATTTCTGAACATAGATGATGTTTAGTGAAAGCTGTGAAATACATACATATACTTATCTACTGTATATCGAGAGATTAATGTGCTGTTCCTGGGTCCTGTACATTGTGAATTATGTTAACTTACAATGTTTTCAAGGCATTTTATCATAACAAGAAAAAACAATGCTAACCAAAATAGTCTTGTTGTCCTAGACATGTACGTTTTATTTCAAAACAGAATCTGATGTGAGCTATGGTTGAAAATATGTAACATGATTAGTAATGAAAGTGCATTACAAAGCAAACTGCTAATTACATTTGCTAAAAGAGGCCAGTACAGTTCGGTGTCACACCCTTAAAATCACCTCATGTCCCCTGAGAAGATTAGCGCTTTTCCAGTCCATGTTTCTCTTGCTAGGTCTCTCATGAATCAACATACTATATAATATTAGTACAATAATCTAGCAAATCAGGAGTAGTTTGACCAATAAAGAAATATTTTTGGTTGAGCATAATGTCAAAAGCTTCAAAATGCTGTTTCCTATTTTCCAAACCATAGCCACTCTTCCTCTTTAATGGCTTTTTGAAAACTTCTTGCAGACTTTGAGAGACTTTGTTTTTGATCGTCCAACCCTGAAAGGGAAAAAAAAAAGCATCATAATCAATTCTGTGAATGTGATGCATCATTTCAGTTTAAGAGCAGAAGTTGTTTCATGGCCAAGGCTCTTAAATGTATATTAAAACAAGAGTAAAGGAGGAAGCTTACCAGTCAGTGAGACTGAAGTTGGGTTGACTTATCCTACTCCACTGTAGTGATGCTTCTGGTTGCACTCTCTGGATGCTCAAGTGCAACAGAAAAGTCTTCACCCTCATCTTCAGTTTCACATGTTACTCCTGTTTTGTACATTTCTTGTTGAGTTTCTTCTTCCCTAGTCTTGGAAGTAGGAGCCATTTTAAATTTATGATCTGGTCCTGCCTTTACCTCTTCTGTCTGATGTTCTAGCAGTGCCTCCACCCTAACAAGAGACACCCCTGCTTCCTCTTTAGTGTAAAAGTCTTCCTCAGCATCCGTCCACACATCAGAGTCATTTTCGTTCTCTTTTTGTTTAACAGACTCTTTTGCCTTTGTTTCTTTGTCAGAGAGTAAAGGCTGACACACAAACACTTCTCTTTTCTTTGTTTGCTTTACCAGTTGTGCAGGTTCTGTCCCCTGGACATTGGGGGCTACTCTTTCTGTAGATTTGGTTTCTTGTCCCGATTCCATCGTTTCCATTGCTTGGATGCTGGTGTCCAGTACTACAGGCTGAGTCATGATCGCTGCTCTCTGTGCTGAATCTAACTTAGCTATTTCTGGTTGTGTACCTTCTGTTGCCTGAACAGAAACCTCAGGTAGTGCTGTCTGTTTCTGGCTCTCAGGTCTTTGCGTTGCATTTAATGACTTTTCTCGTTCTGCTACTGCCTGAACATTGACCTCTGACACATCTGTCTCTTTCACTTGTTCAGCTCTCTCTGTTGTAGGTGGTGGGGAAGATGGTGCCATTGTTTGCCCAAACTGTATGTTAAGTTTGGATTCTAAAAGACTTGAAGGAAACTCCAAATTACATATCGATGAGATGATTCCGGTGTTTTGAGGGACTAGTAATCCTGCGCTGCTTGGAGTTACAATTTGACTCAGGCAAATTTGTGAAGTTTGTGCTTTTTCATGAATTTTCTTCACATCTAATTCCTCTGATGACAATTTGGCCTCTTCAGCTGTGACACCTGCTTCGCATTTTGCCAGTTCAGCTTTAGGTTCCTCTAAATCGTCTTTGCAGTCATGGATAGTTGTATCTTCAATTAGGTTTTGATTCTCCACTTCATTTAATTCACTTCCAACCATCTCAGTCACTTCTGTCACACCATCTTGGTTTATAACTTCTTGTTCCAAGTTGACAATTTGATCCTGAAATCTTGATTGATCTTCCAATGATAATTTCTCTTTTACATGATAAATAACTTCTTGAATGTTCGCCTTGGTTTCCTCAATCAATCTCCCTTCAATCTTCTTTGTGGTAAAGAGACTGTCTACTGCTTTCACAGTTTCATGACAAACATCTATGACTTCTTTGACTTCTGTTACCTCTGCCTCAAGCACTGAGTCAACAATCATCTCGGCTGATTTTACATCGGCATCAACCACCTGCACTTGAATTCTGTGACTGTCCTCAAGCTCTACTGAAGCAACATGCATCATCACAACCACACTAGCTTCCTTTGCTGTCTCAGTCACATTATGTTTCACTAGTGGTGTCGCAGTCTCAGCTTCCTGCTTGAACTCTACCTCATTTGCTGTTGTTTCTCTCAATGGTTCTTCCATTTCTGATGTTTTCTTTATCATAACATCAGGTGTTACAGCTGAGACATCTTTTAGATCGCATGTAATTACCTGTGCTGCTATGGCATGCTGAGTCACAGCAGTTATTATGTCAGCACCAGGAAGTTCACCTTGATTTTCTCCCTCGACAGTGACTTGCACCTCATGTTTGGGTTCGTGTGTAACTGAGGCATTATCTGCACAAGATGCTGGAGTTTCTTCAGAAGTAACTCTCTTTTCCGAGTCATGTGCACTACTCGCTTCCACGTTAGAAAAAGGTATGTGAGCTGCTGATAATGTTTGTAGCTTGTCTACAACTTCAGGGCCTCTGTCGTCCTGCCCAATCAGAACATCTTGTGGGATACCCTCAGTTTCTTTATCCTCATTGATTTCTAAACCCTGTTTCACTTCTGCCAACGCTTCAATCTCAGTTTTAGCTGTAACTGAAGCAATGGCATCATTGGTCTTTGGTTTGGGAGCGTCTTCTAGCTGTACTTGCTTTTCAGGTTCCTGAGTGCTACCTTCTTCCATGCTTTGTGTGACTACATGCCCAGACAAACTTGTGGATGCCCCTTCCAGAATTTCTTTTTCTGGCATGGTGTCTTTTACATCACATGGTAATACATCTGGTTCTTGAACATGTTCAGTTTTGGTATCTTCTACTGGTGGTTCTTCCTCTGGCTCAGCACTGCCTTCAGCTGCCTGTGTTGGTTCACCTGAAATGCTGGGGTGAAATGTTATCATCTCTTCTAATTTTACTTCCTTTTCAAATGACACAACACTGCACTGCTCTGAATCTTGTTTCATGACTTGTACATCTTGTAACACTTCTGGTTCAGTTTTGGAAGCATCCACTGGCTCAAAAGTGACCTCACTGAGAGGCTCTGTTTCCACTTTGGGTCCCTCTTTAACAGTTTTTGGCTGTTTTTTGAGTGGTTGAACACTACCTTCCTTTAAATCTAGTGCAGCCTTTAAAACCTTTGTAACTTGATGATGGTCAGTTATGGGAGCATCCACCGCTGGCTCATTGTTTACTGGCTCAATACAGACCTCAGTGGGCTGCTCTGCTGTCTGTTTGGGTTCATCTGTGACTGTTTCTGCTGGTGGAATGTCCACTGACACTGCTATTTTCTTCTCTTGTACTTGCATACTCCCAATCTCTGCCTCTAATGCAGTTTCTTGTACAGCTTCTGATATTTCTGGTACTTGAACATTTTCAGTTTTAGCAGCATGTGTTTGTAGTTCATTTTCCTTTTCTGGGTCAAAATTAAGTTCAATGAAGGATTCCATTTCCTCTTTGGGTTCATTTGTAGCCGCTTCTCCTGCTGGAATGGCCTCTGATATTACCTCCTTTTCAGCTAATCGAACGGGTCCTTCTTCTGAATTTAATGTGGCTGCTTCTACAGCTGTTACTGCTTGCCACTCCTCCTCCACTACGGGCGGTTGGTCTTGATCGTCAGCCTGAACTTGATCAGAGATAATCTCTATAATTTCAGCTTTCCTTGTTAACATAGTTTGGACTTTGTGCTCAACAGCTCCATTCTTAGTTTCCTCTTCCACTTTAGCAGCTGATTCTGCTTTTTGAAAGTCAGTTTGTGAGGTCTCTGTTTCAGCTTGATGTTCCTCAATTAAAGAACCTTCATCCACAACATTTTCAGGCAGCATCTCTGTAGAAGTAGCTTCAGTTACCTCAGATAAGCATCTCAGCTGAGCGTGGCTCTCATTAGTGCTTTTTAATTCCTTTATGCTTTCTTCTGGATGTTTAATGTTGGCCTCATGTACTTCATCTACAGCAGTATCAGCAGGATGGAACTGCTCAGTAGAACCTTTAGATACAGTTTCTGTGTAAACTGCTTCTTTGACTTCAGATATGCTCGCTGTTTGAGCTGTTGCTGCAAGTTCATGAACTGCATCCGGTTCTTCAACATATAGACCTGTGTTAATGGCAGTTGCCTCTAATCTCCTGTGTAGTTCCAAAACTGTTGCCTCACCTTTTACGAATGTTTCAAGTATTTGATGGGAGACAGAAACAGCTATTCTTTCTGTGTGTATCTCATCTGAACAGACTGGGTCTGCCTGTGGGTTTATAGAAATGATTTCAACCACATGCTGCAGGAGCACCTCTGTGTCCTTGATGTCGTATTCTGCTGGGACTGGTGTTGTGTTTCCAGATGTTTTTGAAGACTCTGATAACTGGGAAACTGCAGAGATCATCTCACTTTCATCTGTCTGGGAAATGTCTACAGGCTCTAGTGCAGTTATGGCCTCGGATGTTATCTCTACCACATCTTCTGCTATAGTGTCATCTCTAAGTGGCATTTCAGTGAATGAAGTTGGAGTGACCATGGTCTCTGTAATTACACCCTCCTCTGGAATATCACTGAGTTGCTGATGTTTACTGATTAATTCTGTAAGGTCCTCAGGTTCTTCATTTGAAGCAGGGGTTGTAGATGTCCCATTTTCCAAAGGATCCTTATTGTCTTTGACCTTTTTTTCTTCAGTTTGCAGACTTTCACAAGGTAGGACTAGTTTAGACATCCGGACAGGATCCTGTGAGAGTTCATTGTCAGCTTCACTGGGTACATAACTTTCTATATCTGCCTGTGTTTGTATGTGAACTCCTGTCTCAGCACTGTCAAATTCAGACAATGGAACCACAGCTGGTGTCTCAGTGTCTTCATCACCTGAAGTTACTTCCTCATAAGTCTCATCTGAAGATACTTGGTCTCGCTTTTCGACAGACTTTCTCTTTTTTCGCCCTGGGAGAAGTTTCTTCATTGCAAAGGAGGAATCATCCTGAATAACTTCACTATCAGATTTTATAATATCATGTCTTTCATCCACATCCTTGACTTTCCTTATCGGGGTGACTAGTTTTTTAAATGATTTCCATGTTGACCCTCCATCACCATCTGAAGGACTTCCTGCTTGTTTAGGATAACAGGTTAAAATTTCATCATCCTCATTAGAACCTTGTACTGGCAATTCTTGCTTGTTATTGTCACTCTCAACTGGGGGTGTTTCATCCTCAGAGTCTGATGTTTTTCGGCTTCTTCTCCTTCTGGATCCACACAAAACAGCTTCCCATGAGACAGATGAATCTTTCCTTCTTTTGCCTTCTTCTGTGCTGTGGTCTGATATTTGCTCACCCTCACTTGACTTTGATTCCTGTGCTGAACTTGGGATTTGTGTCTCTTCGTTACTGGAGGACGAACTCTTCATGCGCTTTTTTGGCGTGACAAGATTTTTAAAAGACACCCACGCACCATCCTCCTCTCCTGCAGGACTTTCTTCTTTCTGGTTCTCAGTTGACTCGGTAGATGACAGGAGCTGATCTGAAACATGTTCTACAGAATCAGACAGTTTAGCATCACTTGATTTCCTGCCTCTTTGTTTTTTGGAGAGCTTCTTTAAACTAGACCCAGACAGGAGCCTTTTTAGAGGACTAGCTTGAACTTTGTCTTTCTCTTGAGAACCCAGAATTTCAGACTCAATGACAGTAATGGTTGATGGATCTGTAGAAGGTGGTTGCTCCTCATCCGTTGTCTGAGTTGACGCAGTAGTCAGGATGTCCTCTTTAAGTTCATCTTCTTTGTGTTCTGTCTCAGCACCTTGACTAATCCCCTCTTCATCCTGTTGTTGCCCTTCCAAAGTTTTTGCTGTCTCTACAGTTTCTGTTTTCCTCTTGTCTACCAGTTCATTCTCAGTTGCCTCATTCTCTCTAGGTTTCTTCTTCTTCCGCAGTCCAGAAAAGATTCCAGTTGTAAAAAAACTTTTAATTGAAGATACAACTATCTCTTCTTCAGGTGTAGCATCCTGTTGTGCTTTCTCATGTTCAACTAGAGATAAATTTGTTGTTCCACCTACATTTTCAGAACAAACCCCATGTTTGGTTTCTGTTGCATTCTCCTCTACATTTTCTACAAGGTCCTGAGATTTGACAGTTGTCAAGGTGGGACATGCTGAATCGTAATAAGTCTTGTGTTCTGCTTTAAGATCGCTCTTCTCTTCAGCATTCTCATTTTCAGTTTCCTTTGTGGTATCTTCTTCTGATCTGTCTGGTTTTTCCTTGTGGGTCTCAACAGGCACATCTGAAGTTCTTTCAGTCGAGCCCATCTTTACTGTCATTTTCAAGCCAATATTACTGAAAAATCTCCTGAAACTTTCATTGATATCATTCTGCTTTGCATCCATTTCAACCAGGGGTACTTCTTCATTAGGTGATTCCTTTTCATTAACTGTAACATTTTCCAGTGGTACTTCTTCTTTAATTGGCCCTTCTGCTCCTGTAACATCTCTGTCTGGTGAAAGGATAGCTACACAAGAAAAAAATAAAATATTTAAACACTTTGATTGCAAGAACTATAAAAGACTGATGAGACAGGAGAAATTCTATATCTGCTGAAATTCAGCAAGTAATGCGATTGTTGAAATTGTGCTGACGTTGTCTGTTAATGAGCATTAAAAGACAGATTACAAGTACCCACCCTCTGCAGTGATCCCATCCTCACAGCGACCATTAACTTCTGCTACAGAGCCAGCTGCTTTGCCACTTATTTCAGGGATCTGCTCATTGTTTTCGGGTGCCTGAAACAAAGCACGAAACATACATTGCACAAATCTCTGCACTTGTAGTGAAGTGCAGATTGTATGGAAGCTCAAATAATAGAAATCAATCTTTCAGCTGGTTTAAATATTTCTGAGTGACAGCAAACACCATCTTAAATTAAAAGAAATGTGGAGCATATCTGTGCTCATATCTTGAGAACAGTTAACAATCAGGATTTGTGTTTCTATGAAAGCAAACAAAGAATTTCAATCGTCGATGAACTAAGTGCTCTAAAGTCCTATTTTTCTAAACAGGCCACACAGCCAGGTCACTGGTGATTGAATGTGACCTTATCCTCAAAGTTTAACACCGCTAATTGTCCTAATCGCAAATATGTGAGCTAGGTTAGTCAGGAAAGTCTGAGTAGGAGTTAGGGAACATGACAACATGTCTTTCAACTAGTTTGGAGTAACACACTGAATAAACAGTTAAATGCTAAATGTGTGTATTTTATTTTATTTCTCTATAAGGTCATATTTTGTGTGCTAATAACTGCCCAGACATTATTAGACATTTACAAAACACTTTTTAAAACATATTTTGCCAATTTGTTACACACACATCAGTGATTCATGGTCTTTGTGTTTTCACAGCCCAGCTAAGTACAAGTGTCAAGTGTGGTGTTTTATTTAAAAAAGAAGTTGGATTATTGTGCTCAATTAAACTGAAGGTAAGGATTAAAAATGTGATACTGGAAAACATGTTTTTGCTTTTTGAAAACAAAAGATGCAAGATTGCACTGAATGTTAAATAGTTTCCATCCAAATCATGCAGTCGCCCAAGTCACAAAGGTCAAGGTTACCATTAAAGCAACATAATATTGTAATTGGAGCTCATAAGATGCTTTTAGCTTTTTCCACTCTTAATGTAAGGTGCTGTCTTATTGACTTCCTACTCACTATGACCCAGTGATAATGTTATACACAAATAATCAATGTTGCCTTGTGCTGAGTGCAGCAAAGGGGAAATGCCATCCCTTTACTTGGGTTCCTCCCAGAATAAAACATCATTATTCTTCCATGCTGTTGCCTTTGTGAGAAAGACAGCAAATGCAAAACATTGCAACACCAGTGAAACAGTGAAAACAGTATTCAGAAGAGCAGTATCAACTTCTATCAGCAAACATCAACAGGCAATAGGGAATTTACACTTCAAAACCTCTGACAAAATAAAGCAATGCAATATATCTTCAACAACCTTTATGTTAGGATTGTAGTGACAACTTCATTTTGCACCTATGCTCATCCAGGAACAAGCTGTTAACATGGTTCTATCCTGTGACAAACAGCCCAAAAAAGTTAAATGTTTCCCCCTTTTTCTAATGAAAAGCCAATGTGAGTCCCAGAATAGCTGGATGTGCTCAGTGCAGTCTCTCAGATGTGTTGGGGTTAATAGATGTGCTGGCAAGCAGGACCTGCACGGTTCTGACAAACAACAGAAACCTGCCTCCGCAGTTTTATAACACACAGCAACCACTAAAAATTGCATAATAAACGAATTTGTTCCTGCAGTGAAACCCCTAATGCGTAGGTATAATGAGGAAAATCATCATTACAAAGATAGTCCCTAAATATAGGAATGAATGCTAGTCCATCCCTCAGCATCTGTGAGAGATGGCATGATACCTTGTGTTCAACATGCTTCCCAGTCTGAGAATCATCCACTTTTCCGCTCTCCTCCTCAGCAGTTGAGTCCTTCTTGCCCTCCCGTTGCGCAGACTGAGCGGTTCCCATTACTGTCAGGAGTGAGACCCCAAAAGGAGCGCGCCGACAGAAGGACTCCCAGCTCTCAAATGCTGCAGAGTGGATTTTTTTTTCAGCCAAACACTCCCTTCAGAATCACATGGAGCCTATGAGCCGATCCAGCGGCCCGCCTCGCGATGCATCAAAAAAAAAAAAAAAAACTGCAGTCTGCTGATGCAAATGTCCGAACAACAAGCTTGAACTTGCAGCTGCACACGTTCATCTCGAGGCGCAGATATGCATCAAGTTACAGCACTGTAAAATAATAATGATAAAAAGCCACTTGAATTGATGCAGCTGCACCAAACATGAGATTTCAGAGTTATCCTTTACCGTGTGTTATTGCGCATTTTTTTCAAGTGCGTTTGGTTATTTGTTAAATTACTTGTTTTAAGAAGAAACTTAATGTTTTCCATTAAATTAGAGAAACATGTCTGTGTAGTTTTTCTATTAACTTCTTTTGAATGGGAAAATTGTATCCAGAATTTTTAGTTTGTGATTGAAATTTTAAAAATAAAACTGCATAATGAAGAAACATGAAAAAGCAACTTGATCTCAAGTATTAGTTACCTCATTTTTTTTTTTTTGTTTTTCTTTTGTGTTCAGACTGTGTAGCTGTTCGTCAGTATCTAAATGGTTGTGATTTTTGTTTTCAAACGGGTGTTTTTTATTGTGTTATATGGCAAAATAATATGTTGACATTTTGGCCTGTTCTCTCGCTTTGTGAAAGAGATAATGTATCTAAGGAGGCTTTCTAGATAAATAAAAGTAATGAAATAAAATACAGTAAATACATAAATAATAAATACAATAAGATAAAAGCAGAATTAACGCTATTCAAAATTGCAGCTGTAATAATTAAGCCGGACTTTTATTGTCGAACATCCTCTTTGGCTGACGTCATTTTCTGCATTTTAAAAATGGCGTCTACTAACATAGAATTCGCTGAATGATCTATCTCTTTTATTATCTGGACCTCCTGCAACATGAAACGAATTGTGGAACTGCGGTAGAATCCAAGTCAGCTTGTAGGAGGCTCTACAAGTAAATGTTTGTTTTTATCTCCATGTTTACTGTTATCATTGTGTAACGGTGTTCATACATTGCAGTGCTGCTGCCTGTTTCCCCTAATAGTAACTTTAAGTAAAGCGTTAGTTACAAAACAACAACTTTAGCTCATATGAAAGTGAACTGACACATTTATCTAGCTAGCAACTGCAATATTTTGAGCTGTAATAATAATAAGTAATAATCAGCTGTTAACATTATTGTGCTAACATGGTGGATAACGTTAAATCTATAGTGCACAAACCGATACCACCCAGTGTAGAAAATATAGGTTATTTTGTTGTGTCGTTCTAAATTTAGACAAAATAATAATATTTGGGCTCTTAGAGTGACAAACCATGAGGCAACTGTTTAACTACTGTTTCCTGTCTGGATTTGGAAAATATTTATTCACTCATTAACCCGGAAGTCCCAAGATAATACTATTAGAGGTAACAAGATAATAAAGGGAAACCAAAACATTTCCCTTATTCAAAATTATTATTTCTGACTTTCCTTGCATTTGTTTTTTATTTCTGCTGAAATATAGAATAATTTTGTTTCTTTGGACCTGTATGTATGCTTCAAAACTCAGTCTCCAAGTGAGTTTCTGAAATGTTCTCCACACTGTGACTCCAATTTGTGGTGTGGGTCACAAGCAGATAAATGGTTAAAAGCTGAAATGTTGGTAACCACCAATCTATATGTGGAAATATTACATTATGTTAATTTTGCAGATGTTTTTGTTCAAAGCAGTTTACAATAACTGCATTCAAACTCAAAAAGAATAATGGTTAGATGAAGTCAAAAATGAGAAGTGAATAGCTAAAACACTGCTAAAGTTTTGTCACAAGTTATTTTTATAATGGTCTAAAGACATTAAAAATCAGTACATGGGTTATTTTTTAGGATTATTAAAATTTTTCTATCATGTATTATTTTTGTCTGTATCACTGAGCCTTATTTAGGGGATTTTAAACGTCAAGATATTTTATTTCTGAATTTTAAAAGTTGTCAGCAGTGATCTTTTTGGTGTTAAAGTTACTCACTATGCCTGTGTCACATTCTACTGAAGTAATATTAAATATATTTAAGGTGGGATTATTTTGTAATCAAAACTCCATTTATTGTGTTTGTAGAGTGTAACCATGAGTAGTCGAAGAAAGAGGGCCCCCCCTGTGAGGGTCGATGAAGAAGCCAAGAAGAGGTTGAACTGGAACATGCTGGATGATCGCAAGAATGAGGTGATCCAGGAGGATGACGACCAGATGCCAACCTGCTCTCTTCTTCCAGTTGACCCTACTCCCAGCAGCTCCTTTCTCATAGAGACTGCCTGCCCTCGCTCTGTCCAGTTCACAGAGGAACAACCTAGTACATCATCAGAGGGCACCACTGCTTCAGCCTCTCTGGCACTGACTGTGGTGCCAGTGTTGAAGCTATGTCACATCTGGAAGGCGCTCATTGGGGAGTTCAGTGTCCACCCAGCTTGGCTCCCATCTGACTTTGAACAGAAGGCGTTCACGCTCCACCATATCAATGACCAGCCCTGCCTCAGTTGGTGTGCCAGCTGCAGTGAGAGCTCAGGACTGCAGCAGAGATCTGATGAGGACACTTGCACAGCGGAGTGCAGCCTCAGTCGAATCCCCCTGGAGGACCTTGACTGGCTGCAGAAGAGGAGGGTGGTGCAGCTCTGCCACCAAGAAAAAGAAGAGTCAATCAAAGTATGAATGCAACAAGTATCTTTAAATCTGGTACTTTATAAACTATTTGGATTCCTCATGTTGCCGTTATCTTACTTTATCTTACCCTGTTTTATTTTGAATCACATGTATAATACCACATTTTAAAAGTCTTCAGTTTTAACCTGCTTCTGTTGGGTTTATCTTTCATATTTATATTGTGTTTTATGCTGCATTGCTGCAAAAAGAATTCACAGTTGTGTGAATGAATGGGAATGAAAAATATTTTAAAATATTTATTTCACATTCTTCCTTGTTAAGTTTTAATCATCATCAGATATTCATGATAATAGTGGGAAATAAGTAGAGAATTGACAGGAAATAATGGGATAGTGATGTGGAATGACATGCAAATAAGGCACACATCTAGACTTGAACTAAGAGCATTGTTGTACATGGATATTGTCTTTAGCCCGTAGGCCACTACGGTGTCCTCTCTGCAGACTTTCATTCAAAACAAACATGTAGGCACAACAGTAGTCAGCCAAATCCACTGTCACCAGCTGAAGTTCTCTGGTTCACATGTTGTCTGTCTGCATTTGGCAGGTGGGGATTTACTTGCTTGAAACTGGGTTCAGTAAGCCAGAGTTTCTCAGTGAGGGAAATGCTCGGCTGAAGAAAGCAAATCAACTAATGCAGAAGTTAATGGAATATTTCTATGATTTCATTATCCCTGGTAGGTGTCTTGTACTGATGTCTAATGCATGCTGATCCAAATTCTCTAATATCATGTAAACCTTGCCATTAAATTTATTGTGAATCAATGTGTAGTTTAAATTAAGTATAACCCTGCATAACTATTAATAGTACCCATATTCTAACATGCTGTCTGAAAAATGGTTTCTTTTCTGTATTTTTTATGCAGAAGTTGGAGAGAATGAAGAGGAAGAGTGTGACACCGACTTGGAGAGGCAAAATGTAGAGGAGCTCTATGATTATGTCAGACATTTGCACCAGAGAGAAAGCCAGGAGGTGATCTACGATGTCCAGCACAAGGCTCTGATTCCGGTGCTCAGACCCTATCAGAGCCAGGCTGTCAACTGGATGCTGAGGAGAGAAAAATACAGGAACACGTCTCCTAAAGGTAGGAACTTTGCTCTTCTTGTCTAGTACACCAGTGCATTCACTTGCTACACACATAAACCTTCCTTTAGATGGATTTTGATTTTGTTTTAAGATGGAAACCTTAGAAATTTGAATGATGATAAAGTGGGTTTTTTCCACTTTTAATCCCATTCAAGCTACAAATTGTATACACTCAGTTGCCATAGATGTTTCTGTCCCTTAGCCTGCCTTCACTGATATAAATGGGGTGTTCAAAATATTAGAAACACCTTCCAGTAAAATGCACTATAGTTATCATAATGACCATAAAGCTCAACCAACACCTCTCTAAAATAGATTCAACAAAAACTAAGTAGAATCTAGCTAATACACTGGCAGCTGGCTACTGATTGCAAAAAATATTCAGTTTTTATAATTTCTTTGCAGAACAGTCATTGCATTTCCTCTGGCGGGAGCTGGTTACTTTGTGTGGCAAGAAGTTGTTTTACAACCCTTTTACCGGCTGGTAAGAACTCAAATCACCTCATGTTAATTTGTCAGTTCAGCCAAATCACGTCCACAAACACACACTTACACAAACATATGCTGTATCTTCCCCCTTACCCAAGTTAAATCTGCCCACTCAGGTATATTGAATCTGAAAAGACACTTTTTTGTATAATTTCTTACATAGACTTTTTCATGTCTTTACGTACCAAAAATGAATTTTCATTCACCCCTATTTTACTGCAGCTGTTGCAGCAGTAGATGTTTCAGAGGCAGGTGTTCCACAACCTCAGCACATAAATCCCAAAACTATTTGCATGGAAATATACCCACATGTCTTTTTGTAATTTGGATGAATTGACCCTTTACCCTGGCACAAAGGTGGCTGTATACAGTAGTTATATCTGGGGGTTTTTGCATGTATCAGATGTGTGCCATCTCCAGTGATATATGTTTGTTTTTTCAGCTTAATTCGAGAATTTCCACTGGCTGGTTTTGAATGGCCTGGTGGGATCCTGGCTGATGAAATGGGGCTGGGAAAAACGGTGGAAGTTTTGGCTCTCATCCTGTTTCACACACGCCAGGATCTGGAGCAGGAGGCCCTTACACTGCCTGTGGTGAGGAAGCACTGTATACAGAGCACAAGCTGAACAGTGAAATATAAAAGACTATACATTCTCATGATGTTTTATATCTTTTCATTTGCAGGGAAAATCTGTGAATTACTTTGTTCCTCCTCCTCCACTGGAAAAAGAGAAGGCTATTCGCTGCAAGTCTGAAGCTCAGCCTAAAATGAAGGTGTCCTACCCAAGTATGTACTCCCCCAAAGGTCTCAGACATTGCCGCTTTTGCTAATATTGCACTTTAAGTCGAGCTTTTACCACATGTTTATTTTTCTGCAGCTGTACGTGTCATGCTGCTCACTGCAATAAAGGAGATGAGATCTGGCAGAGGAGCCTCAGTCAATGCTGTCTTCACTTATATCCGTGCCACTTATGGTTATGACCTCTTAAAGAACCGCAACCACACCAAGAAAACACTGGCGAAGCTGATAGATGAAGGCCTGGTTGACCGGGTCAAAGGTCGTGGCTTGGCCGGCTCATTCAAGCTGGGAAAGAACTACAAAGCAACCAAGAAAAGATTTACAGGAGCATCCAAGTCTGTGAGAATAAACACCTTCTAATACAACTCTTTTATGTTGCCAATAATCCTCTGCTGTAACATCTAATGTTTGTCTGTTTTCTTCTTTTTAGAGTTCAAAATACACAGAGAACATACCCAGGAAAATGTTTCAGAGACGAGCAAAAGAGAAGGCAGAAGCAGCTCTTCAAAACTCGCTTACAGATGATCAAGGAGATCCGAGCTCTGACTGTCCTGCAGAGGAAACAGAAACAAAGAAGGAATGGGATGAAAGTCTAAGTGAGAAAGCAGATCAGTCAGATGACGGGCTAGATACATCCACAACATGCATGCAGATGTCTGAGGATAAAAGTGAATCAGATACACAAGACATGCTGAGAATGGGTGATGTACCTAAAGCCAAGGGAGAAGCTCCTCAGCTTGATTCACAGGAAGAAACAGAAACCCCCACCAGAGCATCTGTGGTCCCTTTCAACACCCCAGACTACCGATTTGAGTGCATCTGTGGTGAACTGGGCATCATTGACTACAAGGCACGTGTCCAGTGTATGAACTGTCAGTTGTGGCAGCATGCAGACTGTGTTAACTACAAAGAGGAAAGCCTTGAAACAACACCTTTCTATTGCCCTCACTGCCTGGTGGCCATGAAACCCGTCTCAACTGGTGCCACTCTCATCATCTCCCCCAGCTCCATCTGCCACCAGTGGGTGGAGGAGATCAACCGACACATCAGGTCCTCCTCGCTCCGGGTGCTGGTGAGAAGCTAGATGAATATGAGTCTATTGATAGATGTTATCCAAAACAGATACACAGTGATTCCATATCTGACCCTTTTTTTGCCTCCACGCTGAGACATAGTGTTTATGGGTTGTCTGTCCATCCGTATGATTCTTGTGAATGTGCTATCTCAGGAACGCCTTGAGGAAAATTTTTCAAATTTGACTGAAATCTCAGGAACGCCTTGAGGAAAATTTTCCAAATTTGACTGAAGTGTCCACTTGTACACAAGGATGAACTGTTTACGTGTCCACTTGGACACAAGGATGAACTGTTTAAATTTTGGCAACCAGAGGTCCAATGTCAGTGACCTCATTTCAGTCCCATCTCCGTGAATTTGACTGGTTGTCAGAGGCATACAACTGTAAAACGCTAATTCTAGTTACTTTTTAAAGATTGATTGTTAAGGTCCACTGGGGTCCTCAGACCACACTCTGGTCACCAACTGTAAAATATCCCAACTGTGTTAAAAGTGACATACTGTGAATTTACATGATATCTAGGAGCAACTAAATAGTCACGTTGCTTGCACAAAAATAGCTACTTGGCCTCTCTGTGCACTGTTTCTTTGGTTTTGTGTATGTTGTCTAAAGAACATTGAAATGCACTATCTTAGTTATCATGGACAGCATGCATTATGGAGGCCAGTGAGAGTTGAGGTATGTTCACTACACTAAAAGATAACATTACCTAACGTTACCTACATGGCTTTATCCTAAGTGGTGGTTTTATATGATTAACGTAGATAAGTGCGATGTTGTGTTCTCTGCAGCAGACGCTGTGTTCACAGTCCGTTTGTTGCTGCTGTTATGTTTCTACACATGGTTGAAATTTAGTGTCTTTGATTTCAAGTTAGTTGCAGCTGTGCATAAAGAAATGTTTAAACATGAATCTACTGTGACTGTTCCCTTCCCTTCCTTGTCTGCCCTGCAGTGGGGGTCTCTGCCACTTTAATTCTTTATTATTTGTATGTACACACTTTTTCTTTGCATTTTAACTTGCATTACTTCACGCGTTCAAAGAGCACATGCTGACACACTGGCTGCTTTCACCTCAGGTTTATCAGGGTGTGAAGAAACATGGATTCATCCAGCCACATGTGCTCGCTGAGCAGGACGTAGTCATCACCACCTACGACGTGCTGCGCTCAGAGCTCAACTATGTCGACATTCCCCATAGTAACAGCAAGGACGGGCGCCGCTTCCGCAACCAGAAGCGCTACATGGCCATTCCCAGCCCTCTGGTAGCTGTGGAGTGGTGGCGGATCTGTCTGGACGAGGCTCAGATGGTTGAATGTCCCACTGCAAAGGTCAGTTAGAAAGAATCCAGAAGTGAGGACCTGTAGTTTTGTTAGGTACACAAGAGTTTTGTGTTTATAAGTTTATCTGTATTATTCTTGCATTGAATATATTAAACATTTCAGTGCTTCACTTCAGTGTTGTTTATTGAAACTTTGTTATTGCTCCTTTTTATTGATACTGTCAGGCTGCAGAAATGGCTCTACGTCTTGCATCTGTCAACCGCTGGTGTGTCAGTGGCACTCCTGTCCAGAGAGGCTTAGAAGGTAAGAAAATCTTTTTAAGAAATCTCCCTAGTAACTAAGCAATCCTTGAATAGGAGGCTCTGTGATTATATTCTTTAGGCTCTTCGTAACTGAAAAATCAAGATCTTAAGACGACAAAGGTGACAGAAGCTTTCCTAAACTGATGTTGTTTTCTGTACAGATCTGTATGGCCTTGTACTTTTCTTGGGAGTTGATCCATATTGGGTGAAACACTGGTGGGACCAGCTGCTGTATCGCCCATATCAACGTGGAAACACAGAACTGTTGTACAACGCAGTCGCTCAGTTACTGTGGCGATCTGCTAAAAAAGATGTCATTGATCAGGTAGGATTATAAAAGTTATTTTTCTGTTATTGTATTTAATGCTCAATTCCAAAACAGAAGAATAAATTAATTTTAAGAATCCTGGATGTTTTAAGTGTGTCAAAAAGACAATCTTCCTGAGGTGCAATGAACGTGTTTTTAATGAATATAGTAACACATTATATGATTTGTGCTCATTTCAGATCATTTGGCAGAAGTGGCTGATTGTCCTTTTTACATCCTCTGTTTTTCCAGATCCAGATCCCTCCTCAGACAGAGGAGGTGCACTGGCTGCACTTCTCCCCTGTTGAGGGCCACTTCTACCACCGTCAGCACGAGGTCTGCTCCCAGGATGCTCTGGTCAAACTCAGGAAGATCTCAGACTGGAGCCTGAAACTTGGCAGCCTCGATCGCCGCACCGTCCACACCATCCTGTGCCCACTGCTGAGGCTGCGCCAGGCTTGCTGCCATCCACAGGCTGTTAGGGGGGAGTTCCTGCCTCTGCAGAAAAGGTAGATGACCCTTGGTATTCTCTTTTTCAAGGTACTCATTAGAGAAGAGAGGTACAGTGCCTTGCGAAAGTATTCGGCCCCCTTGAACTTTGCGACCTTTTGCCACATTTCAGGCTTCAAACATAAAGATATAAAACTGTAATTTTTTGTGAAGAATCAACAACAAGTGGGACACAATCATGAAGTGGAACGAAATTTATTGGATATTTCAAACTTTTTTAACAAATAAAAAACTGAAAAATTGGGCGTGCAAAATTATTCAGCCCCTTTACTTTCAGTGCAGCAAACTCTCTCCAGAAGTTCAGTGAGGATCTCTGAATGATCCAATGTTGACCTAAATGACTAATGATGATAAATAGAATCCACCTGTGTGTAATCAAGTCTCCGTATAAATGCACCTGCACTGTGATAGTCTCAGAGGTCCGTTTAAAGCGCAGAGAGCATCATGAAGAACAAGGAACACACCAGGCAGGTCTGAGATACTGTTGTGGAGAAGTTTAAAGCCGGATTTGGATACAAAAAGATTTCCCAAGCTTTAAACATCCCAAGGAGCACTGTGCAAGCGATAATATTGAAATGGAAGGAGTATCAGACCACTGCAAATCTACCAAGACCTGGCCGTCCCTCTAAACTTTCAGCTCATACAAGGAGAAGACTGATCAGAGATGCAGCCAAGAGGCCCATGATCACTCTGGATGAACTGCAGAGATCTACAGCTGAGGTGGGAGACTCTGTCCATAGGACAACAATCAGTCGTATACTGCACAAATCTGGCCTTTATGGAAGAGTGGCAAGAAGAAAGCCATTTCTTAAAGATATCCATAAAAAGTGTTGTTTAAAGTTTGCCACAAGCCACCTGGGAGACACACCAAACATGTGGAAGAAGGTGCTCTGGTCAGATGAAACCAAAATCGAACTTTTTGGCAACAATGCAAAACGTTATGTTTGGCGTAAAAGCAACACAGCTCATCACCCTGAACACACCATCCCCACTGTCAAACATGGTGGTGGTAGCATCATGGTTTGGGCCTGCTTTTCTTCAGCAGGGACAGGGAAGATGGTTCAAATTGATGGGAAGATGGATGGAGCCAAATACAGGACCATTCTGGAAGGAAACCTGATGGAGTCTGCAAAAGACCTGAGACTGGGACGGAGATTTGTCTTCCAACAAGACAATGATCCAAAACATAAAGCAAAATCTACAATGGAATGGTTCACAAATAAACATATCCAGGTGTTAGAATGGCCAAGTCAAAGTCCAGACCTGAATCCAATTGAGAATCTGTGGAAAGAACTGAAAACTGCTGTTCACAAACGCTCTCTATCCAACCTCACTGAGCTCGAGCTGTTTTGCAAGGAGGAATGGGCAAAAATTTCCGTCTCTCGATGTGCAAAACTGATAGAGACATACCCCAAGTGACTTACAGCTGTAATCGCAGCAAAAGGTGGCGCTACAAAGTATTAACTTAAGGGGGCTGAATAATTTTGCATGCCCAATTTTTCAGTTTTTTATTTGTTAAAAAAGTTTGACATATCCAATAAATTTCGTTCCACTTCATGATTGTGTCCCACTTGTTGTTGATTCTTCGCAAAAAATTACAGTTTTATATCTTTATGTTTGAAGCCTGAAATGTGGCAAAAGGTCGCAAAGTTCAAGGGGGCCGAATACTTTCGCAAGGCACTGTAGCTGCAACAGTTCATCAACAACCATGCTAGACTAGTATCACAGCATTAGTAACAGTAATAGACCTCAGCAACCTTTGCTTTGGTGGGTTTATTAAATTGGTTTGTCTGTCCCCTCCCCAGCACCATGACAATGGAGGAGCTCCTGAAGTCCCTGCAGAAGAAATGTCGAGTGGAGTGTGAAGAAGCTCACAGACAGTTGGTGTGTGCTCTCAATGGCCTGGCTGGAATCCACATCATCAGAGGTATACAGCCTCTCTTCTCTACTTGTGCACCCTCTCCTCCCTGTTTCAATCAGTTCAATGAAAACACAAGCCATGATCTCATCTGTGTCTGCCAACAGAGATGTTTTGTCATCATGTACCATGTGTCTGAATACTCTGTGTGTAATGGACACACTAACAATAACTGTTTCCTTTACCACCTGCAGGTGAGTTTGTAGAAGCAGCAGAGATGTATAGAGAAGTTCTTCGTTCATCAGAGGAGCACAAAGACAGACTGAAAACAGATTCATTACAGGTAAATGGCCTCATCCCATTTGTCTTTTTCATGTCTGTGATTAACAAATGAAGAGTTTCACTACTGAGATAAATCTGACAAAAGAGACATCTGCTCAAATATAATGAAAAATGGCATCAAATCAGACTGAAGCACATGCTGTTGATTGAAAGAATATTGATTCCTGATGGATGTAGTATTTAATCAAAGTAAATATTACAGTGACTTTATGGTTTATGTATAAATACAAAATGCCTAATTACTTTTTTTATTTTATTTTTTTTACCATGGTGATAAAACAGAGGCTTCATGCTACACACAATCTCATGGAACTGCTAAGTGCAAAGCATCCTGGGATACCTCCTACGCTAAGAGATGACCGATTAAGGGAGGAGGTAATTTATAAATATTTCTCAATCATAAAACACTTAGCCCAGTGAGGAATTAGCAGTCATTAATACTAACAATAAAACTTGTTTTGTTGCTTGTTATTGGATATCTTATTGTGAAGAATGGCCATTGCAGCTGTGCCCACTGTCTTTCTCTCTCTTTGTCCCTATAGGCTGAGCAGCTGCGACAGCACTACATGACCAAATACAACTCCGAGGTGGCAGACGCCCATCAGGCTCTGCAGCCAGTGTTGCAGAACATCAAAGAGCTAAAACGCAAAGTGATTAATTTCTTCGCATCTGTATTCATGTTACATAAAAATAACATCTAATCTGCCAAATAACCTAATATTTTGACACACTGAAGTTAGATTGGTCTGTATTTGGAGTAATTAAGACCTTATACTTAAGACAAAAAATTATTTTCTTGATATATCAAATTTGTTGAGGTCAAATTTTACTTGTTATTTATTTACATATAATTATAAAATAGATTAAATGTAAAAAAAGAAAAAAACCTTTTGATTAACTTTTTTCTGAAGGTTAAGCTGAACTCTCCCTGGTGGCTGGATGTTATCCAGAGGGCGAGTCGCTGCTCCACTGATGATGAGCTGGTGTCCCGTGTCAAAAATGAGTTGACATCCAGCTACAAACAACAATCCCACAAGCTCTCCATGGCTGACAAGTAAACTGTTGATTTATTTCAAAATAAGACAGTCGTCGGTGTCCTTACATAAACATGCTAAAAGCAAATGTGTGTCCTACAGGTTCCGTGACGCCTGCGGTCTACAGTTCCTGCTCACTAAGCAAATGCAAGATCTGATGAAATCCCAAAAGATTGTGCAAGATGCAGTGAAGAGTCTTGAAGGTCCACCTTCAAAAAAAGTGATTGACGAGGCCACCATTTGTCACCTCAGACCTATGAGACTCCCCCTCAATAAGTAAGCATTTTTTGGCTTAGCCAGTTTTGTTTTCATTTTGAAAACCACACACTTGAAAACTACATGTGCATTTTAGCGTGGCTTTTTAATCTGTATAACAAGAGACAATGAAAGTTTGCTTTTTAAACTGGGATTATTTTATAATTATTGTTTCTCTTGTCATATTTTAGCTGTGTTTTTTGCAAAGCAGATGAACTTTTCACAGATTATGAGTCCAAGCTGTTTGCTCACACGTAAGTAGAGCAGTTAAAAATATCTTTCCGATTATTAATCAGATTGCATGAAAACATATGGCTGATTAATCAGAAAAGATCCCTGGCAGGGTGAAGGGTCAGATGGCCATCTTTGAAGAAATGATTGAGGATGAAGAGGGACTGGTGGATGACCGTCTCCCCACCACTAGCCGAGGTCTATGGGCAGCCAGTGAGACTGAGCGCACTCTGAAAGCCATCTTGTCCTTTGGAAAAGCTAAACGCATGGACCCAGAGCTGGTGGAGGAGGGCAACATCTTCATGGAGCTGTTTGAGAACTGGAAGAAGGAGTACAAGGTTTGTGCACATACTTAAACCCTTCTCTTCATTTTCAAGAAAGCACAACCTGCTCCTGTGTACAAGCAACAAGGCGTCGTTTTAAAACAACTGAAGAAGCTGTACATTATGCACATAAAATATTAGGACTGTTGAGACAAACTAATGTCGTTGGTACTTTTAGAAAAGTGAAGCATCCAATAATAATCCTAGAATGTGACTGTGAGGAGTCTGAAACTCTGCTGGGTGGAGATTTTTGGTTCCTAAACAGAGTATGTGCTGAACAATAATCTCGGGAAAGGCATCACCATCACTTCTGCTGAGGGTCATGGCTCTTCTGTAAGAATTACACATATATTTAGTACTCCTCCAAATAGAAGAAATGTTGGTAAAGAGACTGGAGTGAAAGCTGACTCTATGTCTCCTCAGGTGCTGCATGAGTACTGGATGGTGCTGCGGAATCACGTGTCGGCCATCGACGAGCTCGGTAGGGCCACTGAGAGGCTACGTGTGCGTCTGCCTGACGAGCCAAAGCCCAAACTGCTGCACATCATCGAGCCACACGAGGTAATTTAAAGACAGTGATATGTCTTTTAACACAGCTTGGTTATCTCAGTCTGTCCCATTTAAACAGTACAAAACCGTAAAAATAATTTATATAGCTCTGTATCATAAATCACACATTTGGCTTTACAATCTGTACATCATATACTCTGTCCTCAGATGGAGGAATAACTCCCAAACAATCCTTTAACAAGGGGATAAAACTCGATAAATCTCAGGTAAAACAATAGTTCTTGGTGTATCGTAATCCCCAGGCTGGGCAGCGCATTAACTTTGTTTTGGGCCACACAACCATCTGATATGCTTGCTTCCTGCAGCACTCTTTACACAATGTACCTCCAGCTTCCGGCCAACATACTGTAACCAGCTTCCACAGATATAAACACCTTCGGCACTGTTGTGTTCTGTTGTGGATCATTGTTTCACAATGAACTGCAGTGAACAGTAATGAAAGGGTTGATTAGACACCTAAACATTAACATAAACATAATATAGCTGTAATACAATCATCTGAGGGCCAGAGATTGCCTCCGACCCATTAATGCCTTGCATTACTCAAAGTTTTCAGGAATGTAATATTCTGCCTTGACTGTTCTTATCGCGTTGCTGACCTCTGCCCTTGGTTGTTTTGCTTCTAGGTGGAGCAGAACAGAGTCAAGCTTTTGAACGATCAGGCAGTCGCCAAGTCCCAGCTCCAAAAGAAGCTCGGTCAGTTTCTGTATCTCACAAATCTGGAGAAGGTAATTTATATTTGATAGTAACTACAAAGCACATATATTTTATTTTGCCTCGTTCAGAGACTTTATCTGAAATTGTGTGGATATGATCTACCTCCAAACAACATCAATTCCTTTGTTGCAGTCCCAGGACAAGTCTACTGGAGGCCTGAACCCAGAGCCATGTCCCATTTGTGCCCGGCCCCTGGGACAGGAGGTGAGCTTTGTGTAGCTGTAAGGACGAATTTGTAAAGTATGAGTGTCTTACATTATGTTACTTTATTTATGCCAGTGTTTCTTTGTTGACTGTATAATGCAGCTTCCCTACTCACAACTGACCTGACAATTTTTAAACACTGACTTACTTTTATGGTTAAAATTAAAACCTGCTGCTTTGTAGCCTGGAAAAAAATGTGCCTTTCAGTCAGCGGAGAAGGAAACGGAACACTTCACCTTATGTAAACCCTCTTATCAGGGACTGTAATTACATCAAGGATTTGTTTGTTTAACATTTGGTATTTGGTTAATATGGTGTGTGTCTATCAGATGGGTAGAATTTTTGCAGCACTGCTACATGTGTGTTTTCTTTTAATCATCAGCAAAAATCACACCTTTTAAAACTTTGGTGATGAACTAGGATCCCATTGGTGTCGTCCTTTGTAATAATAGCTTCTTCTGTCTCTGTTCCAGTGGGCAGTGCTGACCTGTGGGCACTGCTTCTGTAATGAGTGTATTTCTATCATCGTGGAGCAGTACAGTGTGGGCTCAAGGCGTCGTGCCATCAAGTGTGCCATTTGTAGGCAGACCACGTCCCACACAGAGATCTCCTATGTGTTCACCACTCAGTCGTCCAACCAGGACCAGGACATCCCAGTCAAGGTCAGTCAGTAACACACCATCCTCATGTAAAATGGGCCCAGATTGGAATTTTGATTTTTATTATGTCAGGATGTGGATGCTGGGAATGTTTGGTTATGTGATTGCGATTTAACAAAGAATTGGTCAAGTAAATTTGTTTATTAATTAACACAATAATCTAACTTTCCTCTTGCCGTTTCTGTCAGGGAAGCCACTCTACCAAAGTCGAGGCAGTGGTGAGAACGCTGAAGAAGATTCAAGTGACCGACCCCGGGGCCAAGTGTCTTGTCTTCTCCACGGTAATTGTAAACTTTTCCTACTCTACAAGATTTTTTAGCAATAGTGAGTTTGGATCTGACCCAGTTTGTTTCTGTTTCAGTGGCAGAGCGTCCTGGACATTATCGCTAAGGCTTTGTTTGACAACAACATGGAGTTCTCACAAATCAATGGGATTCACAAATTCCAGGTTTGAATTTGTATTGTCACAAAATCTGTATGTGCTCGTTACTTCACAGCACAGCTACACATCTACTTTTATGTGCTTTGCTTTATTCTGCACAGTGCACCATGATTACAACAGATAGGGCTTACCCCTTCTGGACAATTTCAGTTGTCACAAAAAGCTTCTTTAACGACATTTTCAAGTACATAGATTTACATTGATATACATCCTGAACCAACTCAGCCAGTTGCTGTTACACCCAAATTAAATTGATTTATCGATGTGCAGATATTCCTTTGGGGGGAAAACTACTCTGAAAAAGAGGCTTTGACTTCAGGTGCTTATTTTCCCTGGTTAAATAAATAAAAATAATTCTGCAATGGTGTCTAGTTCACCACCAAAATCTAATCTGTTGTCCCTGTACCATATGTCAAAACATTTGATGGAAATCCATCTTCAGAGTTAGTGAGGCACCCTGCTGGTAGAGACAATGACAAACAGAAGGACAAGTGTATATGATGGAGGTTCTCCTCTCTGACCACCGATTGGTTGAAACTCTATAAAACCTGCAGTCAATGTTGTTATTTTATTTTCTGAACTTTTAAACAAAGTTTTTTTTGTAAATGTAGTTTCATTTAAAATTAAGAATTAGTTCCATTTGTTCCATTTGGTCACTGTGAAACTGTCAGCTCATTACTATCTTAATCCTACCTTTTAGATATTTATATTTATAGAAACATCACTCATCCTTTTGTTCAAAATCATGCCAGAAATGTTACTTGATAGGCATCATTTGACCCACATGTGACTGTAACATTACTAACTTTCCAGGAGAATCTGAGCTCCTTTAAATATGAAGAGAATATCAACATTCTCCTCCTTCCCCTTCACACGGGCTCCAATGGTCTGAACATCATCGAAGCGACTCACGTGTTGCTGGTTGAGCCGATCCTGAACCCAGCTCACGAGCTTCAAGCCATTGGCAGGGTGCACCGGATTGGCCAAACCAAGTAAGTGTGCCAGTAGGTCATAGGGAACTTTTCTGGGTGTTTGGACCTGCAAATTTAGATTTTAGTGTTGCAACATACAGTGCCTTGCAAAAGTATTCATAGCCCTTGAATTTTTCCACATTTTGTCACATTACAACCACAAACTTAAATGTTGGGATTTTTGGGATTTTATGTGACAGACCAACACAAAGTATACTGAGATTGAATTACACACAGGTGGACTCTATTTACTGATTAGGTGACTTCTGAAGGCAGATGGTTGCACTGGATTTTATTTAGGGATATGAGAGTAAAGGGGGCTGAATACATATGCACGCCACACTTTTCAGATTTTTATTTGTAAAAAATCTTGAACACCATGTATCATTTTCCTTCCACTTCACAATTATGTGATACTTTGTGTTGGTCTATCACATAAAATCCCAATAAAATACATTTAAGTTTGTGGTTGTAATGTGACAAAATGTGGAAAAATTCAAGGGCTATGAATACTTTTGCCAGGCACTGTACATACTATGACAGCTTTACCATTTAAAATGTTATATTTGACTCACCATTGCTGAAACCACTTCCTTGCCTATAGATGGCACCAAGCGACCTGTCTGCAGCTTCAGTTCTAAACTCATGCTAGTTTCTTTTCCTGCTAATAGGTGGGAAAGTTCGGACTTATTGTACATCTTGACCAAGGCTGCACTGTCTTTAAATAACAGTCACTTTGTGACTGGTATATCTTTAATTGGGTGGAAATCCATAAGGAACCATGGGTGTTGTGTGGATTCACCTTAGTAGTGCATTTTATGACAAGTATCCTTTTGTACATTTGGTGTCATTTCCATCCTCTCTTTCCCCCAGGCCAACATTTGTTCACAGATTCCTCATAAAATCTACAATTGAAGAAAGAATGCAGGCCATGCTAAAGACTGCAGAGAAAAGGTAAGCGTACATAGAATGTAGAACATTGAAATGTGGATTTAAAACCCATTCGTTTAAAGAGGAATTTTTACATTTAAGAGTTGCAGGTGCCTGTTGCCTGACTTAAATCTTTTGAATTGTAGTCACACCAGCACAACCATGAAGCACTCAGAGGCGGCTGTACTGACAGTAGCTGACCTGGCCGATCTGTTTACTGAAGACACTGAACCACTCGAGTAAATCTGGACACCAGCTAAAGAAAAAGAGGCCAAGAGAGCTCACTCTTTACACAGTGGTGAGAAAGGTCCTCGAATTATGCACATTCCATTTTTATATGTGAACATCTTGAAGTTACCCAAAAAGATATTTTAGCAATTCTTTTAGAATAAACTACACCATGTTTCTTAACTTTATTTAAGGTCAGATTTGACATCTCTTTGAAGTATTTGTGTATTTTGGTCCTTTGTCATAATTGTACTTTACTGACTCAGTAACTGTTTCAGGTACGTGTTAGTTACAGTTACATTTGGCTAAATTCTACAGTGTTGTTGTGTTAGTCTAACTATGCGCATTTATATATGACATCACTGTGTGGTGAGACACATGAATATGGAGGAATTCAAATGCTGAAATCATATCAGTGATTGACATATTCTTACAAACTTCAGGAAATAAAAGTCTGTCAAAGGAAGGGTGTCGACATGTTACAAGACCAGCTCTTTTTGTCAAGTGATTTTTTTTAATTTTTATTTTTTATGATTTTCTAAAAAGTAAAAATTGAAGCAGGAAGGAAGTCACTGATGTTTACTTCCTCAAGTCACTTTTTCACAATTAGGCACAAAGTGAGAGATTATAGCAGGGTTCTCTTCTTCCAGACAGCCTTCTTAAAACTGTTTGTCTGTTTGAAACAAATGCCAGAACACTTAAGCCTGTCTTATTTGCAAGACAAAAAAAAGCTGATTCAGTGTCTTGGAAACGAATCTTGTAAACTAAACTCATAAAAGTCAGAAAATGTGAAGAGTTTTTCTGCCTCATTGCAGCAATTGTCTGTTTTTTTTCCTTATATTGCCACCTACAAATTGTCTGGACATGTTTATTGGATTTGTGGCTCTCTTACTACATTTTTCTTGTTTCAAAGCTGAAAATAATCTTTCCTTTCTTGTGTTTATGGCCTCTGCCACCCCACAAACACACTCACCCTTCTTTACCATCATCACTGAATCGCCTTTAACGTGTAATGAGTTTCTTTTCACCTGACTGACAGGGATTCCCGCACTAGTAAAGATTTTAAAATGCCCAGACAAAGGATGTAGACAACAAAGAGTGGCAGCTCTGTACTGTTGTTTCTCTTTGCATGGTTACCAGACTTCTTGTTGCTCCCTGTAGTAAGAAAACAGCTGTAAGGTATTTATTAAGAAGACATCGCCGCAGTAGGCGGTAATATACGTGTTACCTTGGACTCTCCTCAGTTCCCCCTATTCATGTGTGGAATCTCATTGTTGGTGGGGACATCCTTCAAGCTGGTGTTTTGAGGCCAGAGGGAGGCTCCCACTTCATTAGAGCTGTGTTTTGAGGGTCGGAGTAAGAGAGAGGTACCTCGTCTTGTGGTGACAGCGAGCTGTTGTGAATAGTCCCCCAGAAGATTCACAGATTTTCAGTAAAAGGGCCAAAAAGGCAGTGGAGTGGGTGAGCTAAGAGAAAACGGAGGGAAAGTCCTTGGAAGATGGCACCTGAAAGTTTGATTTTCGCCTGGTTACTGTTCACCATGAGGACGGTCACATCAGCAGTAAGTCTGCAGCCTGAGGAGGAGGATGAACTCACACCTCACATCACACCACCAGGTATGAAATGTCGAGGGTCAAACAGGCAGCTTTTTTAGAGAAAGAAGTCATTTTTTCATAAAAGAGCTTTGAAAACTTCTTATTAAAAGGACATCTATTGTTTTCAAGTCAGGTAAGAATAGTCTTTTAATGAAGTTACTAGTTTTTTTTTTACCAGCTGCAGTGTGAGTTGACAAACATTTTGAAAGATGTATTCAGATTTTTTTATTTGGGTAAAACAAGCAATGCCATATTGTGAAGATACTCAATTACAAATACATTTAAAAAATGAAATATAAGTACAAAGTATGTTCAGATAAATTAATTTCATTATTGAAATGTAAAAGTACGCATTCTGCAGCAGATTGATTATTATTATTATTGTGAGCAGTATTTTGATGCTGGCCAAAGTTACTTTGTATGTTACTGGGTTGTTTAATCTATAAAATGCATCTTATTTTAAGAATTCATCATGTTTTGTTTATAAAATCTTAACTTGAGACGTAACTTAAGCAGTCAGATAAATGTAGTGATGTGAAAATCACAAATATCCCAATAAAATGTAGTGAAGCAGAAGTATAACAGCAGAAAATGGAAATATTACACTACTTCAGTACAGTAAATATACCGAGTTAATGCTGACATAGTTATCGATGGCTAGAAAATAGTCTAGATGTTAAGTCTATGCAAAGGGGATGTAACAACATCTGAAAGGAATATTTTTTCATGAGATTTAATTATCCTCTTTTTAATAGAGCTCAATGAAACTGTCATTTGCACCAACGATCATATGGGGGTTGTTATTCCCAGTGCCTTTTTCCTCAACAGAGTGCCTCCAGTTTATGTAAGTTGACTGGTCAAATCACCTACAAACATCATAAGTACTGCATGTTCCCTAGAAGTATCCATACCTTTCTACTGATTTCCTGCATCATTTGCAGTGTGATTTTTGCTCAGTAAATTAAAATGGTTTTGTTATTGTGTTTAGGTTTGGGATTTGCATTTAAATGAACCAGAATGCCGCGGTGTTGAGGTCGGAGATGACTATGTTTTCAGCATAAAGTCAAATCTCTCAGACTGTGGAACTATAATGGTATGAGCTTCATTCTTTCATTAAACGTCTTCTTTAAAGTCTGTGATTGTTTCGTAGTTGGGCCATGTCTGCAGGATTTAAGAGTATAACTAATCAAATGTTGCACGTGAACTCAGACATTTAGAAGAACCTTTCACAAAGGCAGAAGACAAACTACACTTGGAATCTCAACATAAAATCCCCATCATAATAAATTATCTATTTTACGATGTCTCCAGTTGTTGTGGGAACTAGCTGCCCAATCAGGAGGAAGGAGCTGCTTCACTCAGTTTATTGAGCTTTATATAACGCTGAAAATAACTGGACTCATTTTAGAGCAGAAACAGTACTTTTTTCTGCAGTGACACATGTGGACTGAGACCCTCTCTGTTCAGATGGGTACTTTGGAATTAGCTCACAGCAAGTATAGTGATATGGACAGAGAAGGGCACATACCCTGAGCCCAGACAAAAGAAAGAGGGGAGTGGCGTCTATGTCGAGAAAGAAGGGCAGCATTGATCCTTTTCCCTATAACAGCCCAGGAATTTATTCAAAGCAGTACGGGGACCCTGAATGGCCAAGTGGTCCTAAATTATCAGGATGGAAATGATCATTATTTGTTCACTGAATAGGAAGGCCATAAATCCTTGGCCAACAAGCACCCGTATTATTTTAAGTCAGACACTCTCATGGATTCAAACTTAAATCCCTATTTCAGCCCACAAGTGGCCTTAAATTTCTTGCTTGAATTTCTTGAAGGTTTTTCTTGTAAGCAAAAGGTTAACACGACTTTCAACAGAGGGAGAGTCTCCCATTACTGCACCAAATCTGTTTTATAAGGTTTTTGCAGAGTGGCTGAGGAAAGTAAACTGGATTACATGACTGTTGCTAAAGGAGAAGAATACCACAGCTGTCAGCTTTGTTTTCACCTTGAACTTATAACTTTGAAACCTCACCATAAGAGAAGAAATGGCTGAATTGTTGGGGTTAAAGGTCAGCCATTGTCACTGAAACGTGACAGCGCCCTTGCTCATGTTTCAGTGATAATTCTGCCAGCGGGGTTCTGTTGGGAAATAATGAAGACCTCTCGTTTGCTGTAGAAAACTGTCAGTGGTGCTCATACTGGGGGGGGGTCGTGTGTTTACTGAGAAGTAGTAAAAGAAGTCTTGACTGTTAGAGCTTGGGGCAATTCATCCTGCTCGGTGACAGTAGAAGCAATCCTCCATCTGCACCCAGCAGGGGCCCAGACAAACCTTGGATGCAACCTTTTCACTCTATCCCATTTTATGGTTTCACCTACGTCAGCAAATGAATATTGAATATCTCTCACATTTACAGGGTGTGTGTGGATAATAATTGCTGAAGTTATAGCTTGGGAAAGAGCTACATACAGTAAACTCACCTCAGTGACTTCTGCTAGTTTTAATGTGATTCTTACTACTGGAAGATACTGTTGTGTAGTATCTATCACACTGCAGTGCAAAGATGTACAATATGAACGGTATGCATATACTCTATATAGAGGGCTTTATGTCCGTTATATCTTTAACTGTACGTCATGTCCTTGTACTACACTGAGTCAGTAAAATTCAAGCAGTATAGTTTAGATTACCTGTTGATTACCAGATCATTCAGCCATGTCTTTAGCCTGTGAGTGCTATCTGACTGATGGAAAGTTCATCAGCAATTCTTTTGATAATAATAGTTTGTTATTTTAAAACCAATACTGGAACATGTTATCCTAAACATGACAACGATCTGGTTTTCTTTGTCTAATGTGATGGTAAATTGATTATCTTTGACTTTTGCTGTGTCTGTCAGGCATAAAAAGCTGTTTTGAAGAAGTCAACTTGGGCTTCAGTATATTGATAGTTTTTTTTTTTTTGTTTTTTTTAGTTTTCTGACATTTTATACATCAAGTGCTTAATCAATTACATGTAACAAAATAGATTAATGAATGATGATTAAAAAAAAAGTCTACCTGTAGTGCTTGAGTGCAGGTAAAATTCATTTTCTGCACAGTTGAATAAGTTACTTCAATTTACTAAGGTCCACTGTCCAGTCCGCTTCCTGTTACAGGAACCAAAAGTGTGCAAAGACACTGCTGGATGATGCCAGGTCCAAAATTAAGTTGAAATGAAGCCATAAGATAGAGCAGCATAGTTCAGGGTCAGTGGGTCACCAGAGTTGTTGAGCTGCCTGAGGTTTCCACTGACTAAATGAAACGTAAGCAAAGACGCCTCTTGAAATGCTATACCATCAACCCCATTAACCCCAACATCCATGCCAAATGTACCGGTATGTGTGATTCTCATCCAGAATAGCAGAATGAATCATTATATATTGTGTACTGGCCAAAACACGGAAAACAAATATAGAAATACATGCAAATTATCTAAAGCTAAATTGATTACTTCCCTGCTGAGCTTTGCATGTCTTTCCTGTCTCTCCCCAGGCCTCAGATGATACACACATCATGTTCATTAACACCATACACAACAACGACTCAGATGTTATAACAAGAAACTATATTAACATAACATTTGTGTGTCGCTACCCCATCAACTACATGGTCAAACAACCCTATGGTGAAAACATGATTAAAGTGGATGTCAGGTAAGTGTTTTTTTTTTTATCTGGATGAGACTATCTGATAGTGAAATTGTTTGGTGTTAACATATACTAATCATCTCTTTGTAGAACCATTACTCTGAACACAGAGGATGGGAACTTTTCTGTGTCTATGCTACTGTACAAAGATAATGCCTTCGAGGACAGATGGACCACTGTGCCATCACTAACACTGGATGATGACATCTTTGTGAAAGTATTCATGGTAAATAACCTGGAAGTCCATTACTGTTGTTTAACTACAAAGTGTTTAAGACTTAGACCTACACCTGAATATTGTATAAGACTCAGTTGCACATTATTACACTACATAGAGCTGTTTTTGAATTAGCATGGTGTGACACAATGTTAGGCAACATGTTATGTGGCAGGAGGTTCTAAGCAATGCTGGCTATCTAAACACTACACCCGTGACCAGATAGTCATTTGAGTGCTGCTCCTCTTCTCTTCCATGTTGTTATAACCTCTTGGTACAGCTGTTGTTTACTCACTATGAATCAGCATTTCATGGCCCACTAAGAAAAAGTGTTTACTCTGTGTGAAGACGCACTTGTCTGTCACTCAACACTCTTCTGTCTCATAGATGCCGGCTCACCTGATGCTGCGCATTGAGAGGTGTTGGGCTACGCCAACCAGTGATCCATACAACAATATACAGTACACATTCATCAGAGACAGGTCTGCCTCAGGATCGTTACAAAATACAAAAGCAGTATTTATTGTGTCATATCAGCAAATAGGAATAAAAGCTAGTCTCATAATGTAGCTATACATTGATGCTTATGGCAGAAAAGAGTTTTTTTTTCCCATTTGCTATCTTGCAGCTTAAAACGAATAAGTGGACCATATGTTGAAACCTGCTTATGCCTTGCGCTGTGGCTGTGTGTTTTACCACACTTGCAAACAACTATTAAGTCCTCTTAGGCAAGTGCTGTTGAAATCTGAAATAAGAGAATTTGTTGTTTAAAGAACAGGCCAAACAACAACTCTGAGTCTGGTCATGTGACACATGTCTGAGAGACCACATGTGTTTCAGTTCAGCAGCTGTGCATGTACTTGACAACCAGGCAGTGTTTGGTACTGTTAGCAACAGCAGAGCAATGAAATGCACAATGATTTCACAATGCCAGAGGGAAAGGAAAATACTCAAACAAATCGGTCTCTCGCTGTGTTGAATCACTTTGCATAATGTTTGCTTTGCAGTTAATCACGGGTCGAAATCTTTTCTCTGTTTTTTTTAAAGTACAGTAGTTCATTCTAGATTGAAATCTCTTTACCACCAAGCCTCCCTGAAATCTCTGTCTCACTCCTTCCTTTAGCTGCCCGGTGTTGTCAAATGAACAGACCCTAAGTGTGCTGAAGAATGGCCTGGGTCCAGAGGCCTTGTTCAGAATACAAATGTTCAAGTTTGTGGGCAGCTCGTACACCAATGTCTTCCTTCACTGCAATGTCCAGATCTGCCACAGTGCCCCAGGGCTGTGCCACCCTGTGAGTGAGCTCATGCAACGCCCATTCCTCAAGTTGTTAGTCAAAGGCCAGTTCAGACAAGTAGACTGCTGTACTGCATGCACAGGCTATGCCCTTAATATAGACCAATCGGCATAGAATTGTTTTTCAGCTACTGTATATGAGCTGCCAGTTACGCTGCCCTGATTTTAAATGTGCACTGCCTGACATTGAGGCTTATAGTATCTTTGCTGCTTTAATGTTTTGTGCTCATGTATTTCCAAACAGAACTGTTCCAGTGAATATGGATTGACGAGGATGCGAAGGGACATCCCTCTATCCCATACAGTGTCTTATGGACCCATCAGACTACTAAATAGTAGTGAAAAACCTAGTCTGAGTATGTTTTTATCTTTTACACAATCTCTGTAACTCAATTTAAAAAACAATTTAATTGCAAACTGTTGTTCCACCTGTATCCTTTTCTCTGTAGATGCAGGCGGAGTACCCCCTGTGGAGACTTTTGTCCTTGGAGGGCTGCTGGCCATCCTGCTGCTGATCACAGGGGTGTTCGGGAGGCTGTGGCTTCATTCCAGACATTTCTACCCAACCCAACAGGCACAACTTACCCTGGCAAACATTCAGCACATCTCAGAGGTGGCCTCATGAATGTCAGGATCAGGGGCTTTTCTAAGCAGGCTTATGGACAAACTAACACGTACACACCACAAGGTGTGATTTATGAATGATTTATGAATATATGAAAGCCTCATATATGTTTGTTCTTATAAAATGAATTTGCTGATTTGTAGGAAGACTAGAAATGAATAAAAGTCACCCTCAAATATTGTCCATGTTTCTTCCCAATTGTGTAAAAGTGCATTTTACCAAGTACGTGGTTTAAAAAAATACATGTTAAGTTGAGTAGTTTCATGTTATGCTATTTTATACTGTAACGTTTCAGTTGTAACTAAAATAGGAATGTGGCTCATGTAGGTTCTGGATAATAATGGAGATCTATTGTACAGAGGAATAAGATATACAGTCTCAGGCACCACCTGATAGGAGTGAGTAATTGCTGTTAGTTTTGATCTTTTACTAAGACTGATATTTTAAAAATATCTATAGGAAGCTACCTGTCTTATTCTTTAACTAAGAGATCTCAATACTTCATCCACCACTGACGTCCCATTAAGTTAGACTATTTGAATTTCCTAGCAAAAATCTGTAGGTTTGTGTATTTAACAAGGCGATTTAAAGTGCTTTACAGTTAACATAAAATGTATTAAGAAAATAAACACAAAACACACAAAATAAACAAGTCAAAATAAAGGCTAAAAAGATAAAATAGAATAAAACAGATACAACACGAGGATAACATTTACAGTGCAGTGCGTGATATTAATAAATAGTCCCAGTTTAACTTAAATACAATGCAGTGAAAAGTTTGAACCTATGATTTAAAAGAGAGTTGTAGAAGATCTCATGCTTTCTACGTTTGTTCCAGATAAGTGGAGCATAACAACTGAATGCTGCTTCTTCATGTATGTTTAGTGCCCACAGATATTTCAAGCTACATGTAAAAATGCCCTCGGGGTATTACCCAGTCTGTTTATATCAGCGCTCACTCATGACTCTGCGTTTATGTACGTAAATATGAGCCGACAATTTACGTGATGACGTAGTCCTGAGACGTTTTACATCAAGAGCAACACAAACGCCGACAGTCAGAGAAGCGAAGGACTCACAGACGATTCTTAAGCTATAGCCACTTCATATCATAAGAATATTTAGATGCATTTAATATTGAGAGATGTATATGTAGCTATAGATTCTGTAGTGCTGATGTCGACACAGCTGATGTAAGGCAAGACACATTAATAAAAGACACGTGGAGAGCCCCGTAACTCGGGTAAGTAGTTTCTAGAAGCTACCTGCTAGCTAGGCTAACGAAGTGTTGTCGCTAATGCTAAATGACTGGCGGTGTTGTTGGTGTCTTTTGTTTGTCTTACGAGTTTTGCTTCTTGTCAGTTCATCCTATTCAACTCCGCAGTTATAATGAAAATCACTTTTGTAGTTAAACAGCCTATGTTGATATTTTTTGCCTAAACTCTATAATTGGTTTGAGTTAATTAAACCGGCTGTTGCTGTGTTGTTTGTGTTTTTAGCTATTTGCTAACATGCCAGCTATGCTTGCGTAACTTAGCTAGCTATCGCTAGACATGGTTGTAAAGTCGTGAAACATAGCTGTGGCATTACGGTTTGGACTTGCAGCATTGTTGTGAGTCATTACATTTATTTTTTGGTGTCATTCATTATCCTACTAATTCCTTAACACACGCCACACTACCAAATAACCCCGAGGCTTATGATTAAGAGGTATTTACCCCGTGAGTCTTTTGCTGCTGGTAGGCAGAGTTTGAATAACAAATTGTTGAAGGGCTTTCTGACTTGTTACCTTACTCTGTGAATACAGGGCACTTCTAAGAAGTGATGAGAGGTCAGATTTGTCCTGGATGAAGCCGGTGTCCCCATGAAACTTAAGAGGGGTGTTGTGAAATGTTATAGAACAGCCTAAATATTTAGTAAACATGTACAGACAGAACATGCAAGTATGATTTGGGAGGGTTGCATTAATGGGGTAATGTCACACCAGCAGACTGTTACATGTGCTTTACTAAAAACATTGTTATCATGGCATGTTAGTTTCTCAAGTTGTGTGAACAAATTTCTTTTGGTGACTTTGTTTCAGGGTTGAACGCTTCATCACTTTTGCCTGCCAGACTCATTTGGGCAAGGAGCAATTCAGTAAAAATGGAGAATCTGCACCCCCACTGCCTTAAATGCATCAACAGAAGATGCATGATAAGACCAGAGTCTGGGATTTCCTGTGACCTCATCGGCTGCCCTCTTGTCTGTGGGGCAGTTTTTCACTCATGCAAACTAGAGGAACATCGTCTGCTGTGTCCATATGAACGGCTGCCTTGTCTAAACAGTGGGTTTGGCTGCCCATTCACAATTACAAGGATCAAGATGGCTCAGCACCTTGAGACTTGCCCTGCAAGTATTGTATGTTGTACTATGGAGTGGAACCGCTGGCCTGTGAGCTATGCAGATCGCAAGTCCTATGAAAACTTGAGCAAAGAATTTGATGAGGTGGAGCAGCTAGACATGGCCTTGGCCCTGCAGGATCAGCGGATGTTGTTACAGTCCCTGAAGGTTACAACCACTGTGTCAAAAAATGGAGAAAAGGAAGTGGATGAAGGTGACAAGATGGCCACGGCATCAAGTTCACCAGAGATGGTGTTGGGTAATGGAATAATGGAGATGGAAGAAGAACCCTATAATGAGCTGTATAGGGCCTCAGTGGACACAAGCAGAAGTTTGGCAGCAGCTTTGGATATCCTCAGTAATTCTAAAGATATTGGTGTAATTGTTGGAAATTTAAATGGGGAAAAGACTGATAAGAATGGAGCAATCCACAATGGAGAAAATGGTGACAGTAATTATGTTTATGTCGCTGAGGGTGGGAAGAATGTAAATATGCAAGAGAGTGACTCTGATTCTGACTGTGAGCTTGGAGCAGTAGGTGGAGTGGATTGTGCTGTGCGAACAGATGGAGAAGAAGACAGTGTTAGTTGGGCAGAAGAAAATTTTGTTGAGCTGTTTTTTGAAAAGGAGGAGGATATTACCGAGGAGCCAATAAATGATTCCCACCTTGTCTGGCCAGAGATGCCTCAGAATTACATGCCTGTTGTAGCACTGGAGCCTCCTGTGCCTCAACAAGAACAACTTGCACCTCAAATGCCGTTCTTGATCTCTGATCACGTGCGAAATAACTTCCTACAACACTTACCCACTGAACTCAGGTATAGGTGCTTGGAGCGTAAGCTACAGAGTGTAGAAGTCCTTAGAGGTATAAGTATGTTTACATTTAATGGACGTCGAACTCTGTTGTCAGACCCCTACTTGATTCGAGCAAAGATGGAGGACAAGGCAGTAGACACATCTGACCTGGAGGTAGCAGATGACCCCATGGGCCTCCATGGGATTGACCTAATCACTGCAGCTTTGCTCTTTTGCCTTGGCGACTCTCCAGGGGGCAGAGGAATCTCAGACAGCAGATTTGTTGATGGCTACCACATTAACTTTGGTACTCAGACATTCTCCTTCCCTTCAGCCATTCTTGCGACCAACACCATGGTAGGTGATATTGCTTCAGCCTCAGCCTGTGATCACGCCAGCCCACAGCTTTCCAACCCAAGCCCCTTCCACACTCTCAGGCTGGACCTGGTGCTTGAATGTGTGGCTCGATACCAAACTAAGCAGCGCTCCATGTTCACTTTTGTCTGTGGGCAGTTGTTCCGTCGTGATGAGTTCTCGTCTCATTTCAAAAATGTTCACGGGGATATTCATGCCGGACTCAATGGCTGGATGGAGCAGCGCTGTCCCTTGGCCTATTATGGCTGCACCTACTCCCAACGGCGATTCTGCCCATCTGTGCAGGGCTTCCGAATCATCCATGACAGGCACCTCGGCTCCTTTGGGGTTCAGCCTGGTTTGCCCTTAAAAGCTGGGGATAGCCTCCAAAGAAACACCTGCCACTTTGTCTCTAAGTGTGATCAGTTCAGCAGTCTTCCATTTGAAGTGTTGCAACATGTAGCAAGCTTCCTGGACAGCTTCAGCTTGTGCCAGCTGTCCAGGGTCTCCCGCACCATGAGGGATGTGTGTGCCAGTCTCCTCCAGATGCGTGGCATGGTCGTTCTGCTGTGGGAGAAGAAACGGTGTGCTGATGGGTCTCTCTCATGGCAGATCACTGATAAGGTTTCTTACTATTTCAAAGATATTTGATGACAGCTTCACCTGTCTGCTTTATGGAAACAAGATATAACTGTACACTGTTACTGCCTAAGAAATGATAATCAATTCTATGCTCTTCATCAGGTGTGGCGCTTCAGCACAGCATTCGGTACAGTGAATGAGTGGAAGTTTGCCAATATCGCCAGCATGGCCGACCACCTCAAGAAGTGCAAGTTTAACACGATTGCTCGTCGGGAGGAGGCCATTCCTCTGCCATGCATGTGTTTCACCAGGGAGCTCACAAAAGAGGGGAGATGTTTACGTTCGGCTCTCAAACCAGTAGCATGAGTATGAACATCTTTTGGACATTTCTGAGACCATCAGAACCCAAGAAACATGTTCCTTCAGTGTTTACAGACATGAGTCCTTTCCGGCCTCAAAAGATAGAAAACATCTGGTTGGATGCTATAAAATGTTGGTTTTCTTTGCTTCACAGTGAAAATATGATTCACTCCCATTAACAGGACGCAGCCGGTAATGGGTTGGTGTATATCAGCGGAGGCTGGCATGCTGCAGTCCCATATCAGGACAGTAAAGAAGCAGAATTACACTGCTAGCCTTCTTTTCTTCCCTCCGGTGGATTTATTAATACATACCGTTGTACCATTATTTACTCTGACACTGTGGAAATAATCAGATGTTTTGATGTGGATTCTTTTTTATTTTTATATTAAAAAGTCAGTACTGTGCTACATCAGAGGAAAG